AAGGTAAGTTAATGTAAACAAAAAAGGAAATAGAAAATGTCTCGGTAAATTGGTCATTCAGACAAATAAGCAATGATACGACGATGTATTTGACAGGCATGTTTTACAGACACAGGCAGTATCTGTACTCCAGAGGTAGGGGATTCGATTATTTTACAAAGCGATTACTAATAATTACCATATAAGTATATATGCTTGTTTCAGTGCGATTCAGGGTTACATAAATACAAATATCCTCTTTAGGGGAACTATTTCTGGAATTTAGTTTGTTTACTAAAGTAGTTTGATAAGTATTCATACGAAAACTGGAGTGATGTAATAATACTAACATATATGTTCAGCGGCTTTTAGAGAATCAAGTCATTTTGATTTAAAGATTCACAAGTAAATCAAATAATATGAATAAAATAGTTTTTATTTAAATCAGTGCACATATAATACTTTCTTAGATTTACGCGAATATTTGACATATTAAATAAAACTATCTTTTCGGTTTATTTCGCGAATTTAATTTGGTTTTTGGTTTCCGACATTTCGAATGCTTTACAGCAATCATGGTCACGGGAGAGACTAAGGTTTTAGACGTCTCAAAGGCATTGTATACTTGTTACAGACAGTGCATACCTACAATTTTACAAAATGATTTAAAAAATTCAAAAATGGCACCAAAGTATCTAACAATATTTGTTGATTTTAATTCTAAACTTGTTTTTAATAAGTATTATAATTAAATACATATTTTTTATTTAAATTAGTCCAATAATGACGCTTCTTTGTCACGTAATACCTTGACTTTCAGTCTTTAAAAAATACTTTATCAGCAATTTATGACGAATTTACCATACAAACTATTACGGTTAGTCTGTAAATGTCTAGGGGTTTGTTTATGTCAATTTGCGAATTATTGCGCTAAGATCGAATGGGAAGTGGGGCAATCGCAATCGAAAATACAAGCCGATCAGGCAAATCGAAGAAACATCTCTCTATACCTTAAACCTCTTAAAATAAAGGTGTAAAATAAAAGAAATGCTTGTGAGCTATTGAAATCTAGATATATGTAAATGTTTGCAAGTTCAGGAAAGTAAAACAAAATTTCACCAGAGGAGCCTCATCGAACCATTTCATATTCGTCATGGCAGAGAGATCAGTAGTACAAATGACAGCAACCAATCTGGGCTGTTTTTCAGAATTTCTTAATACCTCAGTGTGCCCAAACAGGGAATCGAAGATAGGACTCTATCAGCTGTAGCCAGCCGTACATCCTAACCACTGGATCATCGAGGCAGTTAGTTTAGTAAAAAATAAATATATATCGAATATTATACTTATTTAAAATTTCCCAAGAACCATAACATTTGAACACAGCAATTTATATTATTGGAAAAGTAATAGTAGTCATATAACGAACGCGTCCATTCGACCGTTACGAAAAACAACGTAGTGTAATGAATTTATAGTTTAAAAGGTATGAATATGGCTGTAATATACATACATACATATGTATGTATGTATGTAGGGAGTAAGAATGGAAACTCTGAATGGCCCTCATTCGAAAATCATGTGTCTGAGTGTCACTGATTTATGATACTTGCTGTCTGAGATTTCAGTTACAAATGTATATTCATTTACCTAGTTATTACTAATATGAGTCCCACTTTATTTAGGGAATTTGTAAGGAGGAATTTAATATATGTATATATGAATTAAGTGTACTGAAAATTTAAGGAAAGTTAGATGATACTGTCTTAAGACAGAAAAAAATCAATCGAAATCTGTAGAATCGTGCAGTTATTTATGTATGGATCTGACTACTATTTATCATAAACTAGCGGCTCACCTCGCTTCGCTTGGGTTCGTCCTTAAGTACGTTTTAACGGTTAGTATGGAATAGATTGAATATATATTATACTAGCATTGCCCGCGGCTCCGCCCGCGTTCAGATGACCAAAAACCAAATTCTTAGGTTTTACATATAAGTATACTTTTATATTGCAGTTTTTGTATTTTTTCTTAGAAATGAGATATTTTCCCGCGGTAAAAAGTATCCTATACGTTGATCCGGATAACCAGCTACCATCATACCAAATTTCATTAAAATTTGTCCAGTGGTTTTCTCGTGATGAGGTAACAGACAGACAGACAGACAGACAGACAAAAATTCTAAAAACTACAGGTTAGGCCTCTCTATACTCTAATGTCTATTTCAATAAGATTTTCCAAAAAATATTTAATGTACAGATTCGGCTTAGTTACAATTTTATTATATGTATAGATAATATTTTTTTCCAATTTAAACTTGACACATTGTTGTAGATGATAGGTCCGCCACTATTGTAAGTATTCCGAGGAGTGATTCTCATACAAAATAAACAGTACTGATTTTTTTATTTTCCAGCGATTTTTTTTGTGTTTTCCCTATTTTTTTTATACTTAAACCACTCCTGGTACACCCTTAACAAAACAAAAAAAATATATTCAAATTGGTCCAGCCGTTTTTGAGTTTTAGCGAAACTAACGAACAGATAGATGTGAAAGTTTGTGTGGCGTGTATATTTGATAGGTACTTGATCACGTTTAAAGGGTTGGACGAATTTTAATGAAATTAAGGACACAGACAGACTATGACTGGAGTAATTAGACGGCACGTTTGGCTCAGTGTGTAGTGATCCTACTTGCTGTGCCAGCGGTCACGGGGGTTTGAGTCCCGCTGGGGGCATTCATTGTGTGATGAGCACGAATGTTTGTACTCCAGTCATGGGTGTTTATATTTATAATATGTATGTATTTAAAGTTTATATATGTGTAGTGTATCAACTATCTGATATCCGTAACACAAGCCTCGTAGCTTACCATGTAACTAGATGGTGCTGTGTGTTAATGTCCCAACATATAAAAAAAAATTAGGTACCTAGCGAATCGAGGGTAAGTCATTAGTATATTTTAATATAGGTTGTAATTGATGGGTACACTTAATGTGGAATTTTTAAGTGATTTTGAAGTCGAAAATATCAAATTTTGTATAGAAAAAATTTTATAGTTGGACCTTTTTAAAAAAAGCCAAGTGAAGCCCAGGGAAGGTGGGTGGAAGGTCCTTAGTAATATTACAAATGCGATTGAGTTTGACTGTTTGGGAATTATTGGTTAGGGCTTTTTTATAGCGGCAACCAAGCAATGGATTGATACATATTTTTTCCATATACAGTTAATGGTTTTTAATAGCTTATATGGAGATGGCTTTTTAAAAGTACATTCTGTAGAATATTTGTGCGTTACAAGAGTTACCTTTGAATAAAGTTAGAACGTGTCAAGTTATAAAGATATGAGTAACATTTAAAACCTAATTCTGCTAGATTTAAAAAAAAAGCTTTTGAAGAACTTTTCTGTGATTGCTACTATAGATGATTTCCTAGAAGACAGCAAGCACACCTTGGAAATGATATGTGGGCCTCAAGGCTTTTTCAATTTAAGCTATTCAATTTGTTTTTTTTTTTTTTAGGTATATAAGAAAGTTAAAAGAAGACCTATAGTCCTGCTGAGTTTCATTCAGCAGTTCTTCTCAGGACTGATATTTTTTCCCAAACTGTTAGTAGTGTTTTTAATAATAAGTATTGTTTCAAACAATAAGTGTATGTATTTCTAATATACCAGCATTAAATTAAGAATTTTGATTTTGAATTTAAATTGAACAGTATGTTTAATTTAATGTTAATCTATACTTATATACACATATAATAAAATTGTAACTAAGCCGAATCTGTACATTAAATATTTTTTGGAAAATCTTATTGAAATAGACATTATTATAGATACAGAGGCTGAATCTATAGTTTTTAGAATTTTTGCATGTCTGTCTGTCTGTCTGTCTGTCTGTCTGTTACCGCATGACAGAAAAACCACTGGAGGGATTTTGGTGGAATTTGGTATGGTGATAGCTGGTTATCCGGGTCAACATATAGGATACATTTTACCCTGGGAAATTATCTCATTTCTGAGAAAAAATACAAAAACTGCAATGTAAGAGTATACTAATATGTAAAACCTAAGAATTTGGTATTTGATCATCTGAACGCTGGTGGAGCCGCGGGTAATGCTAGTCTCAAGAATATAATGACAAGTCATTAAAATTGACGATTAAGTTATATATAAATACTTAAACGGATTAATGTTGCGTCAATGTACTCATCTAGACTTTATCACGATCTTAAGTTATTTTTAGTATGAAAGGCATGTTTGCATAGACATAATGAAGTTATAGGATAGTGTTTTTTTAATTTTATTTATTAAAAAATAAATAAAAATTTCCTGTGAGGTTATAATAAAATTATATAATTAATTATAATAATTATAATAAAATTAATAATAAAATTCTAACTGAGTCGAATCTGGAGGTACATTAAATATTTTTTGGAAAATCTTATTGAAATAGTCATTATTATCGATACAGAGGCCGAATCTATAGTTTTTGGAATTTTTATCTGTCTCTCTGTCTTTCTGTCTGGGAATGTATCACGAGAAAAACACTGGCCAAATTTTGATGAAATTTGGTATGATGATAGCTAGTTATCCGGGTCAACATATAGGATACTTTTTACAGCGTCAAAATATATGATCTCTGAGAAATCTATACTAAACGTTAAAGCGTAAACTAGGGCCGAACCCGTGCGGAGCGAGGGTGAGTCGCTAGTATATGAATAAATTCGAATGAAAAGTTATTGGATGTTCATAATTAAGTGAGACGTGAAGTGTGGAGTGCTGTCACTCAATACAAAAGTGTCAACTAGTCTAACAATTAACATATAATGTCTATTAGTTCAAAAGGAAAACGTAAGTTATGGGTAATGGGATTTTAAAGTTATAAGTTTTTTTAATACTTAAAGAAAAAAAGTAAAAGAAAATATTATTTGTTATTAAAAAAAATATTTTTTTACTTAACATTTTTTTTTGTATGTTAGCTTAAAAATCTCATAATACTGTATATCATGGAAATTAATCTTACCTTATGCTTTAGTAGTCGTCAGCGTTCCGGAGATAGAAAGCTCATGTCGAAACGTAGGAGATGCGTCATTCTTGAACGTGTTACTACCGCGGTGCCTGAAGACGAACTGGTCATGCTGTGCAGCATCAGGTCTCTTGGCGGCGTGGGCGGGGCGACACGCCTCTCGCAACAAGTTGCAGCCTCCACAAGATTTATTCTGCATGGCTAAGCTATGTCTACACAGATGCTTCAAATATGTATAAGAAATTAAAGAAATTCGTTTTGGAGTTTAGTTTTAATAGATACTGTTGTTAATATTAAATTTTAACTAAAAATATACTCGGGTTTCATATTATTTTAAGTAGTTATTCCACTTATTAGAGCAAATATTTTTTTAAATTTACATGGAACGATCTTGAGCTATCTATTTATTAAGAAATTTTTGTATTGGTGCATACAGGATAGGGCTGCCAGTAGACTCGTAGAGTCAACTTATAACTACTAAAGTATACAAAATCAAATCTTATTATACAAATCAATATAATTTAAAATGAACAACGAAAAAAAAGGTCATCGCAGAGAGATCTATAAATAAAATTAATACATACTTTTGTACCTCCTTAAATAATTTAAGTTATTCCATTATATATAAAATCGATTTGTACGTTTTTTGTCATTCGATTTATAATTTTTATTGTTGTATCCAATTATAGAAGGCAATTTAGTTGCTTAATATTTTAACTTTAAATAATAGCAATCTAAATTAATATATAAACTTCTTTTAAATTACATATAAAACAATAATATTGCTTAGATAAATAATTAATCTTTTTTAATTTTTAATATTCTTTATATAAATAATATAATAATAGCAACACTAAATAATATTTATAATTAATAAAGTTTTTAAAAATTGTAATATTTATAGTAAAAAAAACAGCTAAAATTAAATAAATAATATTGCTATATTTACTTATAATACTTATTAAATTTCCTGAAATGCTTAGAAATAAAAATCAACAAATATTGTAAGGTACTTTGTGTCATTTTTGAATTTTTGAAATCATTTTTGTAAAATAATGAGTAGGCATTGTCTGTAACAAGTATGTGTTTGAGACCTCTATAACCTTAGTCTCTCCCGTGACCATGGATGCTGTAAAGCATTCGAAACGTCGGAAACCAAAAATCAAAATAAATCCGCTAAATAATCCGAAAAGATAGTTTTAATTAAAAAGTGGTAATCATATTGAAATTGATTCGCACATGAGAAATTCGTGATGTAGGTTAGTAGTTAAATTTTAGGATACAAGTTGTTACCATCTCCCATTTTTTTCAAATCAGTTACACACAAACTTTCGATAAACAAACACAAAACAGCTCAGTAAATTTTGCTCTTTTGTTTGTAAAGCGATTTTTTACTACTTATTGTAGCTATTGAAGAGATTTAGTTTTATCAGTTATTGTAGTTTTATCATTTTTTTTAATATGGATAGGTAAATTTTATTGATACATGTTTTCTTCTTTGCAATGATTGGGCGAATACTAATACAAATAATACTTTCTTAATACATTCTTAGATTTATTTATTACTAGCATTGCCCGCGGCTCCGCCCGCGTTCAGATGACCAAAAACCAAATTGTTAGGTTTAACATATTAGTATACTCTTACAATGCTAATTTTGTATTTTTTCTCAAAAATGAGATATTTTACTGCGGTAAAAAGTATCCTATATGTTGACCCGGATAACCAGCTATTATCATACCAAATGTCATCAAAATCCCTCCAGTGGTTTTTCTGTGTTGCGGTAACAGATAGATAGACAGACAAAAATTCTAAAAACTATAGTTTCGGCCTCTGTATCGAGAATAATAGACATTATTTTTATTTCAATTAAAATTTTCCAAAAAATATTTAATGTACAGATTCGGCTTAGTTACAATTTTATTATATGTATAGCTTATGTATTTGACATTTTAAATAACTGTCTTTATGGATTTTTCCGCTGATTTATTTTGATTTTTAATTGTCGACGGGAGAGACTTTCCCTGACCTTGATTGCTGTAAAGCATATGAAACGCCGGGAACCAAAAATCAAAACAAATCCGCAAAAAAATCCGAAAATATAGTTTTATTTAACTATTACAAATAAAAATGCGTTTGAACACTACTCCTAAGAAATAAACTAAGGCAGCAGCCACGCCCCCGCTGTGATTTTTCCAGATTGAACCAATCTGTTTCACCTCGCCCGATGATCGATGCTAGCAATCAACTGGTGGACTATCTAACTCGTGGAAGCTAAAAATTATATGTATAGCTCTATATATTTATTTTATACTGGATTATGTTTCATTTTGCCTTATGTGTTCATATTTGGCATAGTCTCTGGAACTACACACAGATTTTAAGATTTTTTCAATAATAAAAAGGCATATAGACTACTTTTATCGACGTACCATGACGAAAGTTGTGTGCGAAAACTAGTTAATTATTACTGTTTTATAGAAGAAGATTCATTTTCAATATTAAATTAATCCCGGGTAAAATAACACCTTTCAAAAAGATTCTAAGCAATAACTAATCGATAAGATTTAGCGATTGAACGTTCAGCGTATTTTCTTTAATATCTAATCAAAATCTCATTTCAATAGAATATTATCTAAATTAATCTACTGAGAGATATGGTGATAATAAATAAATAGTGGTTGGTGTTTTGTATGTTTTTGTGTTGCTCGAAGAGTTCACTCTATATGCTCTAATGATTTTAATAATACTTATCTATACTCATATAATAAAACAGTAACTTGGCGAAATCGATGTGCGCGTTCCACACAAAAAGTACTGAACCGGTTTTAACTAAATTCTGTGTATTGTTCGGGTCAACATTTAGGATACCTACCACAGAAAATCTTTCATTTCCACAGGAAAACACAATAACTGGTTTTATTGAGTCGTTCTTAGAAATTTATATGTCTAACGCCAACTAAACCTTAAGAGGTACAATAAAACAATGTACTAGCAAATTGTAGGTCTTAATAAGGCCTACAGAAAAATCTGCAATAGCATAAGTCTTTCTCCTAAGGTACACTCGCAATAACTATTTAATACTAGTGGCTCACCCTCGCTTCGCTCGGGTTCCCGTTCGTCTCTAGAAAGGCACAAACAAATCTATCCCACGGGGACCGTTCATTTTTGAGGGATAAAAAGTAACTTGTTGTTTGACCGGCAATATAAGGTATCAGCATGCCAAATTTTACTAAATTAGGTGCATAAGTTGTTGAGCTTAGCTGTATAAGTTACTATAGTTTTTTGACTATCCCACGGGAACTCTTTAGTTTTCCGGAATGAAAAGTAGCCGATTTGTTATTGTCATGTATGAGCTATATTATTGTAAAGTTTCTTTAAAATCCAATCAGTAGTTTTTGTGTACTATGCTGTATAAGTTTTTATAGTTTCCGGGATGAAAAGTATCTAACATGTTGACCGGGGATAAAAGGTACCACTATGCAAAATTACATTTAAATCGGCCCAATAGATTCGGAGATTAGCCCGTATAAACAGACAAACAGACAGAGAAACAAAAAAAATGAAAAAAATCTGGATTTGTTCTATTTCTCTTCTTACACCCCCCTGACTCGGTTTTTAGCATTTTTTTTCTATGTACAGACATTCGACCTCTACAGTTTTATTATAGTATAGATTTATACCTATTTAAAATTTATTTGGGACGCACCCGCACCCGTTTATATATAAAGCGTGGAACAAAGTACCTACCTTAAATATTTATGTTATCAAATTTTACTCAAAGGAAACATTATTTAATTTTTTAAATTAGCAAAAACAGCGTTTAAATATCCATACTAATATTATAAACGTGAAAGTGTGTTTGTTTGTCTTTCTTTCATGTCGAAACGGAGTCACGGATTGGCGTCATTTCTTGTGTGGAAATAGTTGGAGGGCTGGAGAGTGACATAGGCTACTTTTTACCGCGGGATATTATCTAATTCCCACGGGAAAAAAATGTCCAAAAAATATTTATGATCAGATTTACTTGAAACTTGGTATTAATGTTCTTCAATATAAATAAATACGTGTTTCAGCATTTTTCGAAATTCATCTCATAAGGGGGTAAAATAGGAGATGAAAGTTTGTATGAAACCTACCTTTTTAGAGTTTTTTTAGTAGTTTTAGCGCGAGCGAAGCCGCGGGTTCCGCTAGTTATTTTATAATAATTGTAATAAAGATAACATCTCGTATGTCAAAGGCAAGTCCGCATGCGGGTAGCTTATCTCATATGTATCAAACCTAAATCATGTATATTCTAATACACGAACATCCCCCTAGTATCCCCTCCCTCCCCCTCAATATACTGAACTAGGGTAAAATTATATTATTAATATTATTATGTAAGTACAATTTGTATTCTCTTACTCACACAAAGTTTCGTATGTTTGTTTGTGTTATTAAAAAAAAAAGGTTTTTGTACATTTTAGACTTTTTAATCCATCAACGACCGCGGTCACGCCGGCGTTACAGTTAACAATAGATTTCTTAGAAATTTAATTAATTTCTTAGAAATTTACCTAGAGGTGTTAAAGTGATGATTATAGGGCACTATTTCAGCTTTATCATCCAAGGCGATACATAAGAACGATGCTATCAAGTTATTTTAGTTTTTAATTACATATACGACATACGAGTTTTTTATTGTTTGTATGAATATATGAAAATTCAAAAAATAAATATATAATCTATATATAGTCGCTGTGTGCATCTGTCTGTTATTCCGCTTACTTCTTTTAAACCACGCAATAGATTTTGTTACGGGTTTTACTAATACAAAGATTGATAAACGAGGAAGGTTTGAGTATATAATTTGTAAATATTTAGTACAAAAACACTTATGCAGTGTACGACGATGAAGCAAAGCATGGCTATTCTGTCTACTCACCATCACTATCAACATTGCTCAGGTGTTATAAGTGCAAAGCAATCATATATGACGACCCGTTTGGCTCAGTTGGTAGTGACCCTACTTGCTGTGCCAGCGGTCGCGGGTTCGAGTCCCGCTGGGGCATTCGTTTGTGTGATGAGCACGAATGTTTGTACTCCAGTCATGGGTGTTTATATTTATAATATGTATGTATTTAAAGTTTATATATGTGTAGTGTATCAACTATCTGGTATCCATAACACAAGCCTCGTAGCTTACCATGGAACTAGAT